GTAGCATATCAGCTAGCTTTGCCACCTGAAATGGAAAAGATACATGATGTTTTTCACGTTTCAATGCTTCGAAGATATCGATCGGATCCCTCCCATATCATAAATCCAGAAGAGATCGAGGTACAACCGGATATGACTTATGAGGAAGAACCGATTCAAATTTTAGCCCATGAAGTTAAGCAATTGAGGAACAAGACTATTCCTTTGGTCAAAGTGTTGTGGAGAAATCACAGAGTAGAAGAAGCAACGTGGGAGCGTGAAGAGGATATGCGACATCAATACCCTCATTTGTTCGTGCAATGAAAAATTCGAGGACGAATTTTCTTAAGGGGGAGAGATTTGTAACATCCTCCATGCCGGGTTAGTGATTAATTTGCAAAGTTTCAACATTTGGTGATTAAAGTAGAATAATTATATAGTTTAAAAAAATAAAGGTTAGTAAATATGAAATGAAGGTGAGGACCAAATGGTCATTTGTAAGGAAAATTTTAATAAAAAAAAATGTTATGGGGATATATAAGAACCCACGTGGAGTATTAGGTTTCCAGAACCCTCCCATTTCTTCTTCTTTCTTCCTTATTTTCTTCTCTTCCTTCTCTCAACGTGGAGCTTGCAAGTAAAGGTAAGAATCTGAACCTTGGTAGTTTCTTTGATTTTTTAAGATTGGAAATGAAAGTTTGGATGTTATATAAGCTAAAGGAAAGCTTATATGAAATTAAAACAACAAGATAAGTGTTTTAGAGATAGATTTGGAAAATGAGTTTTTAGATGAAATTTTGATATGGATGAGTTTTTGATGTTTGAATCAGATTTTTGACTTGTCAATAAGCTAATTAAGAAGTATGAAGTCATGGAATTGAAATTAGAACAAGTTGGAATTTGAGTTAGATTCTTCAATTCTATATGGATGAGTAGTTTTCTTAGTTTTAGAGGTATTGAATGGATAATAATTAGTTTAAGTAAGTGTATGAGAGCTAAGAGTATTAAAGGGATTGAAATATGTATGTTTGAGCTGAAATGAGATGATTTCTGGGCTCAAAATAGGATTTCTGGGTTAGGGGAATCGGTACCCATTCAAGGGGAACCGATACCCCCTCAACGAAATGAATTTCCAGAATGCTAGAGGGGAATCGATACCCCAGGGGGAACCGATACCCCTCATCGTATTTGAAATTCCAGAATGCTTGTGGGGAATCGATACCCCCATGGGGGGAACCGATTCCCCCATGAGAAAAAAGAAAGAAAGAAAGAAAAGAAAGCAAGACTAAGCTATAAATTCTTTAAATTAGTAAGCTATTAAAGCTTAATTTCAAGACATAAACATCTGATGATCATCTTGAAAAATTATGTTTATGTAGATACCGAGCCTACTCGAGTTCGGGAACAATCTACAAGTAGAATCGATCGAGGAAAAGGCAAAGAAGTATAGGTGAGTGCATATGCATAGCATGAATATAGTAGTATATTCAGTGCTAGACTTGTGATAAGTCTAGATTCCATATTTTGACATATGATCACATTCCATATTATGATACATGACATGAATTTATATTAAATGTATTACATGACATGAATTCATATTATATGTATTACATGACATGAATATGCAGAAAAAGTTATATGAGCTATGTGATAAAGGTATGTAAATGATATGCCTATGTGATAAAGGTATGGAAATACTATGTCTACGCGATATGAACTACGGGAAATGTAAAAGCCCATGTTATGTAGATGAGAACTATAGGTATAGTTGGCATGCCAAGGGTAGAGGGTATACTCGGTTCTTTAGGACATATGTATATCCTTTGGAACCTGTGTGAAGTCTTGAAAGACACATACTTGATCCATAGTATATGTATATGATTCTTAAGGAATTCTATGTGGTCCTTATGGACATCATTATATGGCACTACGGTGCAATTCTACGGGCACTTCGGTGCAATTCTACGGGGCACTTCGGTGCATTTATACGAGCTGTGGTGACAGCATAGTGCACAACCTCACATTACTCAAATACCTTAGGTTCTCAATATGCTATCATGGGCCAATAAACTTATTAAATACAGATTCATGAATGTTACAGTCATACGCTTACAGGTATGGATATTGATGAAGTATACTACATTGATTAAGTACGTGTTTGCATCTCATCTCATATGATCCTGACATTTTCATTACATTACATTGCCTTGTTATTATTATTGCCTCACTAAGTCGATGACTTAGCGTGTGAGTGTTTCACACGTAGGATCCGAGAAATTAGACGAGACAGGTGAAGCAGCTTGACAGTATTACTCCTGCAACCATCAGATCAGAAGCAACTTAATCAGTAGGTCATTTTGTTATGTAAATAGCAGTTGGCATGTAATTAAAGGGTTAAGTTGTGTATGCTCTGAATATTTTGGTAAACTTATATTACAGTATGTATATTATTGTATTTTCTTAATACAAGTTCAAATATTTTACTATTATTTATTAAGAGTTGTGTTTTAAAGTCAATGTAGTATCTCTGACTCATATCCGGGTCGGGTATGGGTTGGGGGTGTTACAACATGCATATTGAAATGTCATGATCGAATGGTAAGAATGCATACTCATGAATCTACTGTTATATGTTTATTTATTGCCTCACTAAGTCTATGACTTAGCGCGTAAGTGATTTACACGTAGGTACCAAGAAACGAGAGGAGTAAGAATAGAAGTGACAAGGACAGTATTATTACTAGAAGATCAGATCATAAGTAATCGACAAAGTATGTATTTTGGTGTGTATAGAGTGTTGGCATGTAATAAGTCATTAATTACGAGTACTCTGATGGAGTTTGTATTTTATGGTCATTTTTATGTAAATTAACGTATTTTGCTTTAAACAAAGTTTTAAATTTCTCTGTTTTTCAAAAGAGTCAAAGTTTGAAAAGTCAATGTGACACCTCAGACTCGTATTCGGGTCGGGTACGGGTTGGGGTGTTACAGTGACATGTTATATGATAATGGCTCTGAATCAGTCAGCAATGAATCATTCAGAGGTGTGGAACAAACACGCTGAATGCTGAACAGTTCAACATTCAGCGCTGAATGGTTTCATTAAGAGGAAAGCAAACAACCCCTTAATAAACAAAATTAATAGTATATATGATAAGCGTTCTAAATTGACACTATTTGTTTGTTATTTTTCCCTTGTTATAATTTATCACTGCTGATTTGGCTATGTTATGCTTATTCTCGTACAGTGGTTTATTTTCCAGAACTAGCAGTAAAAGGGCATTGTTCACATTTTTTAATATTCGATCGCGGTCAAAGACATGGGCACGACACTGGGCATGACGTGATTTTGACGTGACAATTTTTAGAAGGTTCAGTCAGCATTGAGAAGATTTTGGAAGCAGTTCAGTCAGCACAATCCGAGGAGATCTTTTCGAAAATTTAGTTTTTAAGTTTGAATTTAAACACTTAGAATTATCTTTCAATTTTTAGAATTATTTGCATTTTAATTTCCATGCTATCTATTGGGATTTAGAAAGCTATAAATACCCTCATTGGGTATAACTTGAACAAATCTTTAATTCTTTGTTACTTGTTTCATTTTAATCAAAGTTTCCCTTTCTTTTTCACTTTCACATTCTTTTACTTTATGCTTTTTATTGTTTTCATAAAATATGCTAAGTATGATTTCTATCATACTTAGCTAATTTTCTTATTTAGCCAAGAGCTAGCAATTATTCAATTCCAAATGTGAGAATAGAAAAAAGCACTTAATGCCTTTAGGTTACATTTTTAGTTTTCTGAAAAATTAGTTTGGCAATCGACCTCACTTTTAAAAATAAAATCGTTTTCAAATCAAAGAGTCGACGTTTGTCTGGGTGCTATTCTGATTTAAAGTTGGGAGGAAGAATCGACTGGTAGTTAGTTCGACTTCCTAGGAACACACTTAGCGGCGATCTACTAAGGGAAATTGAGATCGGATTCAATTCTCAGCGAGACAATATAATCCGAGCCGGGCTTTTCCAAAACTTAATATGATTTGTTCTAACGACAATAGTAATGATTAATCCATTTAAGGACTGAATTTCGTAGAGTGACTTGGGAAGATCAGTTACTAAAGAGAAAAACGAGTTACAAGAGTTGAGCCTTGTAGACTGTAATCGGCATGAATCTCGGAGTAAAATCTATTTTAATGATCAAATGGAATTGAAGCAAAGCTAACTCGAGGTTGTTTTCTCATAATTGTTTTCAAATTTTATTTATTACTTTCATTTATTTTATTTCCTTCCACTCTTATTCCACCAATCCCCTTTTATTTACTTTTTGTTACAATTGCCTAGATCAAAATCGACACAATTCTACATCAGGAATTTCTAAGTCTCTGCGGATCGACCCTTTTATTCACTATACTATTCTTATTTCTATATTTATTTATTTTGAGAAAATGTTTATTTGACGAGTAAAATGATGCTATATATATGTGTATAATTATAGTAAGAGGTGTTTATCGAAGGAGTCGATCGCGAGTTGGAATTGTTCGACTTGTGCTTATTAAAAAAAAATTTTGCTCGATTCGTTGCTCGTTTAACACTTAGGCTCACCAAAATTTTTGGTAGGGCAATCAGGGTTTGATTTTTAGGTGTTATAAATTAATTATTGATTAATAGTTTAACAAACTGTCCGCGAACTTATCGAGTCGAGTTGGATCTTGCTCAGCTCAACTGATTAGGGTCTTGAGTCGAGCTCGAATTCGAATCGAGTCAACTCGAATCGAACATTTACTGAATTTTGATCAAATCTAGTTCGAGCAGTTCACGAACTGCTAAACTCATTAATCACCATAATTATAGTATGATATCCAAAAACACATAACATAATGAATTGTATACATAATATTAAATTAGAACTTCTTTTTTAAGAATATAACCGTCCTTTTTGATCCTTGTCCTCAAAATAACATCCGCTGGTTTAAAGCAAATAAAACAATGAAATAAGACCATTCATAATGTTAGAAAGTGAAGAGGCGCATATAACATTTCCCTTAGAATTAATAACATTGAAACATACAACACATTACTCAAAATAATGGAATATATTTTATATAAATTATAAAATTTAAATATTATTATCCTCAAGAGGCATGTAGAACATTGTCTCAAATTCTTAAACAATAATTTGTCCCAAAGGCAGAATTGAATCAAAGGAGGGAGATGCCTTGAACAATCAAAGCATCAGCAAGGACTTGATTAGCGGCCTGAGACGGATGGACGCTGTCCCAAAACACATACTGAGTGGCATTGGAACATGTCCCCGGTGTGTGCGGATTGCACAAGAACTCGGTCGTCTCTACAGTCCCTGTTCCACAACACCCTTTGTCTGCTTCAACAAAACCTGCCCAAACACACTCCAAATTCATCTCCAAATCCTTTCAACATTTAAAATGATTTTTAAGCTCCTTACCATAGTTTGAAGGAGATTTAACGATGTCATAAAGTGCCTTGAAGATGTCGAAAACAACAATCTTAAGATCAGGATGCTGTTTCTGGAGATAGGCTGCTGCGGAGTTGAGCTTCTTGTTGAAATTTTGAGCATCGGTATTGAACCTAGAGATGCATCCTTTCTCGTGGTATCCAAACAATGTTCTTGCTAAGGGAACGCAACCCAACGGCGGAAGAGAGGTGGCCCCAATTTTCCTAGCTCCCAACCCATACATGTTCTGTTTGTCAATCATATGATTCAGCGATTGAAACTGACCAAATAAACAATGCCCATTTTAATAGTTTACGTATGGATTGGTACCTTGACGAAGCTTGTGAAGGCGTCGATGAGGAATGAGCCATACTGGTCCGGAGTATAGGCATGGTTAAGCAATGGGTTGACATAGTAGTTCTGGAGGTAGTCGCCGCTTCCGGCACTCAACACATAGAGTGCATCCTTGATAATGGAGACCGATTTGCTACTGCCAGCTACCTTTGCTAGTTTTTCTTGGTATTCCTTGAAATACTCTACTTGCTGGGTCAATGTGATAGCATGCTGCAAACACACATGAAACCAGAAACTTCATAGTTATATACTATATGGCAATTCGATGTTGAGATTCGGTTTTCAGACTATAGGGTTAAACATGTTACATTCGTCATGGCAGCTTTGTCATCATAGCCAGAGCCAGCTGAAGCAAAATTGGCTCCAATAAGAAGGTTCTTCCCTGATGCTTCCGGGCTAAGGTATGCCGGTGGATAAGTTGTAAACCCCAGAGTTTCAGCTGCAAGAAGAAATTTCAGTAAAACTTTGGAACATACCAATTCAAAATCCAAACTTTAGTGCATTGCTTACTACTTACCAGTGATGTCAGTGACTAATTTTCCATTGCAAAACCTCCCAGTCGGCTTGTGGTCGGCGAAGTCCCGTCCGTAAGGAGGGTAATTAGCCTTGAAGATGGTGGGAAGATAGTCATTGTTGCCGACATCCACCACGGAGTCACCGAACGTCATGATTGCAGGGACAAGAGTGGTTGATTCTTGTGCATACCCTCTGCTTATTGATGCAAATGCGAACATAAAAAACAGAAGTACCTTTCTGCAATAACAATAAGCATACATTTTTGTTTACCAGGGAGATTACTTCATTGAAGCTTTGAGCACCAAGTTGGCCCTTATAAGCTGAACGACAATCGCAAGAGGAGTTGGTCTTGAAGGAGGAGGATGGCGGTTGAGAAGACCCAATATTGAGAGTAGTTCAAATGAATATTTTAAACCAATTTCCTATAGTAGGTCTCAGATTTTTTATTCTCATTTAGGGTTCTCCTCTCTGAATGGCTATGCAGAAGATTACATTTATGAAGTTTTATTTACACCTAACCAAAACAAATCATGGTAGTTGGATGATAATACAGAGGGCTGTTTTGGCTTGGAACCAAGGAGAAAACTGCAAGTGCAGGAGTTATTGGCCAATCGCTCAAGAAACTTTGTTTCTTATGCGTCCGTATTACTACTATTACTTAGCATCATGTCAAATTTCTCAACTTTAAATTCTAGGGTAAAAACACCAATAATCCCTGACTATAAGATATTATTTTATTAAATACTTCGACTATTAAAATTTACAAAATGATTCTTTAACTATAGAGTGTTACTTTATTGAATTCCTCAACTATCAAAAGTTACAAAATAGTCACTAGACTATTCATTATGTTCCAAGCTCATCATTTTTCGATAAAAGATTGGCGATGGTCTAAGTTGGACATTGACATGATAACTGAGATGTGATAGTCGTTTGAGATTCTGCAGATTTCATCATATCACCGTCAACAAGTTAACGTTCAACTCAGAATACCGTCAATTTGTAATTGAAAATGATGAGTTTGGAACATAATGAAGAGTCGGGTGACCATTTTTATAACTTTTGATAGTCGAGGGACTCAACAAAGCAACACTCTATAGTCAAAGAACTATTTTGTAACTATTAATAATTGAGGGATTTAATAAAACAATACTCCATAATTGAAGGACCATTGGTGTACTTTACCCTAAATTCTAATAATCAGTTTTTCTACCGTTAGTTATTCATAGGATATGCACATCAAGAGATTTAAGATTTACAAATATTTTCTCCACTGCAGTTACAAATTTACTGAGGGTTACCACAAGTTTTTCATCAATGGCAGCAGTGCTGGTTTTTTCTCCGGTCACTTAACTGTCATTTTTACTTTATGGTTGTTAGATTTTCTTAATTTTCATGCATATTTTAACGTATTTAAAATATTTTCTCTTGGCTTTTTTTACAATAAAGGCATCATGAGTATCGATGTTTTTGAAATCTCGGTGCATGTTTCTTCCTTTGGTTTTGTTCTTGGTCTTTGCTTCTTTGAAATTTTATGGTTGTTTTTTTTCGATGTCTAGTTCCTCTGTTTGTTTGCATATGACATCTCATTGGTTCTCGGACACTTGTCTCATACAAGACTACGGTTAAAGGAGGATTCATTTTCCATTCGTTCATTTTGGATATTTTTCAAGTTTTCCTCCTCTATGTCTGATGCTTTAGGAAGTCATAACAATCAATCTCTATATGTCATTGACTCAATTGTTCAAGCTCTTGCTCATCATACTGTCAATGATCGATCACCGATATATTTTGCTTATAGTAAACTTGAATGTATTTTTCTTGTATGCTTGTGGCAAGACGTTTGTTGACATTGTTTTATTTGGCCAATGAATATATTATAGTTTTACTTTAAAAAAATTATTTATATTTTTTTATCTTTAAACTTTTTTTTCTAAAAAAAAAGTCATTTTAATCTTTTTTTTCCCTTTGGATCCTCTAACTTTTCTTTTTTTGATTGAATCGAATGATAAACATAGGGTGCGGGCCGACATCGTTAAAAATACCCAAGAGGCTACCACTGCCGTAATGATGGATTGTCACCGTAATACCCTCACCATTCATATATTGATTTATATAAATATTTGACTTAATACCAAAATAAATGCGCAAATTATATCACTTTTTTGAACATGTGTCTAAACTATTTGTTGACTCATCCATGTACCTAACATTACAAACGTTATCCATTTAGGTGTCTGGGCCATCAACGACGTTAATTCCTCCCGTTAAGTGACATATGTCACAATATGGTGATTTTAAATTTATTTTTTTAAAAATATTATTATATTTATAAAAAAAACCCTAATTTCTCTTAAATTATAACCCAAAATAACTAAAATCCCCAAATCCTATCCTTAACTTGCTGTCGCCACATTTTCCGGACACGACCATCTCCGTCGACGTAGTCCCTGCCATCCTTATAGTCATACGTCGTTGTAATTGTCATCGATTGGCCATCGAGATCGCATGAGATCACAATTTTCATCATAGGGTTTGCGGGGTATAAAACGTCGATTCACCGTTGATCGGCCACTATTCATGGGGGTTTAGTCGCTCGGGAGATGTTGTCGGGTGGAGCTTCGTCGACGGAAAAGGGTGATGACCGATGGGTTTAGAGGTTGATATAAAAGTTTTAAAGTTTGAGGTTATTTCAAAATATTTATGTTTTTCTTTAATATATATATATATATATATATATATATATATAAATTTATTTTATTTTTAATTTTTAATAAAATTTTCAAAAGAACTGACAACACATCATTTTAATTGTCAAATAAAATATGCCTTAATCTCAACTAAAATAAAGAATAATATAGAAAGAATAAGGGTCGATCCGTAGGGAATAGAGAATCGCCGATGAATTTATTCTTGTTCTCGGACTAGGTGTAAACTATAAAAGAAAGTAAAGTGGGGGTTTATCTTAATTGTAAATAAATAAAATTGAAGGGAAATAGAGTTGAATTAAAATTTTAATTATGACAAATCAGGCTACGACTTTTGTTCTGCCTCAAATTCTGTCGATCATCGAAATAGATTTTTTATTTTGGATTCATGCCAGTTACAGTCTATAAGGCTCAATCCCTATAACTTGTTTTTCTCTCAATTGAACCGACAATCCAAGATAATCTTTGATTGCAAGTCCTTATGCGGACTAATCACGAAAATCATTATTAGTGCCAACTCGATTTTAAAGCTTTGGAAAAACCCGATTCGAATAGTGTCTCATTGAGAATCGAATATGATCTCAGTTTCCAATAATGGACCGTCGCTAAGTGTGTTCTCAGGAAGTCGAATATGCTACAAGCCGATCATTCCTCCCATCTGTCAATCGAAAAACACTATAAATCCAATGTGCACTTTTTGAAAAGAAAATGTTTTTGATTTTAAAAAGATGGTTGATTAACAATCCTTGATTCCAAAAAATGAGAATGTACCCCGAAGGGTATTACGTGCTTTTCAATTCTCACGATCGGATTTGAGTCATTGTTTTAACCTTTGTCTATGAAAAACTTAGTTAAGTATGATAGAAATCATACTTAACATTAAAAGAAAAGTAAAATAAAAACTTTAAAGTAAAAACTAAAAAAAATAAAAACTTATATAGAAACAAGAGTAAAGAAAAACAAAAGAATTCGAGATGTGAATGACGATTTGAGGGTTATCCCAAGGGGTATTATAGTCCTCAAAAAACCTAAAAATCCTAAGAGATAAATCTTAATTAATGCAAAGATAATTCCTAAAAATTATAAAAGATAATTCTCATAGTTGTTTAAAATAAACCCCCCCAAAAAAAAGATAAATCCTAAAATCTCGTCTGGATTTGTGGTTGGGTATTCTATCTTCACGAAAATGTTAACTCGTCGCCACATCAGCGAAGTCATGCACATTGGTCAGCCATGATTCCAGAAAAATAAAAAGTTACAGAATTCGTCATTTTTAGCATAGTTTCTGGAATTCAATGTTTTTCACAGAAAATAAGAGAAAACGTCCAACTTAACAACATAAACACGAAAATAAAGGAGTAATTAACGATAAAATATGATTTTTTTACAGTTTTTCTTATTTTAATTTTTGTTAGTCATTTAACATCATCGAGTCTGTGATATTATTAATAATAACACCATCGTGCCATCATCATCTGAAAAGCTCCAACACCCAAATCCATTTTGATTATAGGACAGAAGAAGTTTCGGTGGCCACTATTCTCAGCGAAGCTATTAAGTAGAGTAACCCAATTTTGTCAAAACCCTTACTGAATTTACGAATGAATCTTGGAACTGATAAAAACTTAGTTACTGAATTTATGAGTGAATCTTGGAACTGATAAACAGAAATCCAAGACTCAAACGTAATGAAAAAGCTACATTACATAATTGTAGACATAATAGGAGGATACTAACATGATGCGTTTAATCTAACTAAATCTCATTTATTCTTTTATGAACTGACAATGTGGTCCATAGTGCTAGGCTTGATCTATCTTTGGGAAAATAAAAGATGGATCTAATTGCTGGGAGGGGTTGGGGATGTTGAATCCAGCCTGGCTCACATTCGGCATGACAAAGATGAGCTTAGCAGGCAACACACCAACCACCCAATAACTTGGGGCTCACCTCTCCTCTCCTGGATTCTCAACTCTATTAAAACCTTTCACCTCCAAGTTTAAATGCCATTAAATTCTTCTCTCTATTCTTTCAATTTCTGTAAAGTGGTTGACTTAACCTAACAAGAGTTGGCAGTCCATGGCCTGTTGGATTTGCGTAGGAAGAACACATGGATCAGGAAAGACAGATGCAGAAATCGGGGTTCTGAAACTCTCTCCCATGTGCATGTAAATGAAAAGTTTTAAAGGAGTGCTTTTATTACAAGACAATAGTATAGATAAATTCTGAGACTAATACAGCAAACATTATTTTCAGTCTAGAAAAATTCTGAAACTAACGCCACAAACATTATTGTCGATACGAGCTCCTTATAACATCTTACAAATGCAAAAGGCTACTTTCACGACTTTTCTAAGTGGTGGTGAACTCCACAATCCTTGTAATAATAAACTTGAAGCTGAGGCATTCAATTGGGGAGATAGGCAGAACCCTCATTCACCATCTTAACTTTGCCGGGAAGTACTGCAGGGAAAAAATAAAGAATGTTTAACGTCAAAAATTGTTCTGGACATGTTAAGGGATCTAAAACAAAGATCTTGTTTGCGTTGCTCACCTTCTGAATGAGAGAGAGATAATAC